TAGGGTCCAGTGGCGTATTACCCGCCGCACCCCCAAATGACAGTAATTCCGCAAATTATGTCTTTCATATCCATCACCCCCACACCACTCTCTCCAAATACAATCTCGTTGCGGTCCTGTACCTGGATTCCTGTAGACAACTCAAAAGACACTGCACTTACTGGCAATTAATTCTCGTTCATTGTTAAATAAAATGCACTTCCTGCGTAAGATTCATCACATTTCTTTTCCTGACATAGTGCTAATAACACAAACAGTGTTCAGCGGAGATGTCAGATACATTGTTCGGGATATTGGGTTATAACATCTTTCGTAATGACCACCTTTATGGTAGAGGCGGTGGCTGTATAAACTACGTCAAAAACATACACTTGGTTCTTCCTCTGGAGGAAGCACTCCTACGGAAACTTCCCGGTTCGGTGTGGATTACCAATTCTATTTATCTAACAAATCTTTTAGTAGGTTACATTTACAGACCCGCATCGTATGCACTCACCGTAAATAATGACTTGTTAGACACTTTTCTTTCATTGCCGACCTCTCATACACTAATAAAATAATCGCTGGGGATTTTAATATGCCGGAAATCTCATGGTCTCTTGACGACGAACCACAAAAACATAATACTTTTATGTCTACTCTTGGTCGACTGGGATGGGTACAGCACGTCACAGAACCTACACGGCTCGGTAACACACTTGACCTAGTAGTTACTATGGGATGTTCAAATGTGTCCACATACATCAGTGGCAGACTACCGGGGAGTGATCACATCGTTGGCTGATTTTTCCAAAAATTCTTTCTAAACCAATAGAATCAGTGATCAAATACCACCCCTACTTTTCTGTGAATTGGTCAATTTTTCTTTGCTTTTGATGAGTTCTACCGCCGTATTCAGCTTTGTATTGAAGTTGTGGCTCCAGAAGGTACTAAGGTTGAACAGGACTGATGCACCTGCAGATATCTCGAAAAATGTAGCCAGTAAACTTCAAAAAATAAAGAAAAAGTTAAGGAAAACAAAGGATTTTACTCTGCTGATCCTCCACACCTGAATGCTAACAACGTTATACCATGATCACCACAAAATGCTATGCTCTGAGGAGGTAATGGTATTAAAGAGCGCCAGCATGATAGACTATACCTCAAAACTTTTGGACCGTAGGCAGAATTAAAAATCAAGTTATATTAACTCGATTGTAAACTCTGATGGAACTACCATAACCGATGGTGCAATCACATGCTCGAGCTGCAATGACTACTTGATGTCTACTTATAGCACAAATGCGAGAGGGTCCTCAACTCAAGCTGATACATGGTTGGCGGCATCCGGTTTCGGATTTGCTTGTCACTGTGGCCAACCACAGGACACCTGCGCCTACAGAGGGACCATGGGTGGCTTGCGCTGCACCACCCACAGCTCCAACCACACACCCCATATCCAGTGTAAACCCGAAGGAATAAGGCCGGGAGGCATGTGGATGGGAGCCACGTTTCATCAACGGAGCCGGCCCACACTCCTTCACAGGCAAACACAAGCACACTGTATTTGGGGAATCAAGCGCACACAAGGCGGTGGCTGGACCGTAGTCCGCTCCACACTGAGTGCATGGAACCACTCTTCGATCATAGCACGACCACAAGGATCGTGCAATAGTCACCTCCAGCAAGGACCAACTGTCTCCTGGAGCCAGTATGGACGAGGTAGTGGGTAATAGACAGGTAGGCACCTTGTCAACATGCACATCAAGCGCAGCCACATCGGGGATATCAAGCAACAGCCAATCACTTGAAACGATAAAATGAAATAAAATAAATTGAATAATGCATAGAGATACGGTGGCATAACTCTTCGCTAAATTAGCATATGAAGTAATTTGGTTAGCAATGAATCCGCGATAAGGAAAAAATGTCCACAAGTTACTCAAAAATGCTACAAACGCAACAAAATTACCGAAGATAAGCGCAATTAGCGTAAACAACGTGGCCAGCCGATAGAAGACTATCCAGATAGGCAAAACAAACCAAATAAACTGGAATGAAATTTATGCAGCTTAAAGAGACCCAGTTTGAGTGTAAGTTGGTTTAGCCCAACTGCGGTGAAGAAGCATCAAGAATGCAACATCAGCCTCAGCATGGCAATAATACAGTCCAACCTTCACAATTAGTGACATACGTCGCCAACTCAGTTTAGTTCGGCCATCATGCACACCAGGCCATGATAACATCTGCCAACTCTAGTCAAGCACGGAGGCCCAGACATCCCCCTGTTGTTGCTTAATGTATTTACACCTTCTATGCTCAATGGATAGTATCCTTTGCACTGGAAACAATCAACTATAATACCACGACACAAAAGCGGATCTATACATGATGTAAAAAACTAGCACCCAATCCAGCACACATCTATAATCTTCAGAATCATGGAGAGGTTGGTTAAAGAACGCATAATAGAATATTTGAATTCTATGAGCCTTCTCAGTAAACATCAGCCCAGTTTTCTGAAAGGCAGGTCATGCGCTACCTGTTAGTTAGATGAGCTTGTTTATGTGACTAGAGCAGGAGACACCAGAGATGACATCGGTATAATATTTATTGATATCCAAAAGGCTTTCGACCGTGTCCCACACAACTTATTGTTGCGGAAGCTTGTGTCCTATGGTATCACAAATTCGTTTCTAGATTGGTTGTCTTCCTATCGCGAGGGTAGAAAGCAAGTAGTCAAAATTGGTAACTATACATCTGAAGCCACCTCAATCTCTAGTGAAGTGATTCAAGGTAACGTACTAGGCCCGCTTTTGTTCTTACTCTATTTCAATAATCTCCTTTATAAAATCTTGTAGGGGAAACCATTCCTCTTTGCTAATGATGTCGAAATTGCGTATTGTCCCGCCCCTGGGCAAGGCGATCCTAATTTAGCATGTATTCAGTCTGACTTATCTGCATTGGAGCACTGGAGTAATTCCTGGAAGTTGCACTTTGCCATTGACAAGTGTAATCTACTGTACAATGACTCTGCGCCTTCTCCGAACAGCCTAATCTTAAAGGACACCCCCTACTCCCGTGTGTGGCACAGTCCGAGAACTTGGTCTAAGATATTCTGCCTCATTTAATTCTGTAGAGCAAGTTATATTCTTGCAGGCTTCTGACAGAAAATTGATCGCCTACATTCCAGGCTGTAAGTCTTTGAAATATGTATTAGACCGAAGTTTGAGCACTGTACGATAGTGCACGGTATGCTGAGGAAAGTAAACATCATAGCACTATAAAACATTCAACGATCATTTATCAAGAGGTTTTTGAACATGCCTAACCCTATAACATACCGTGAGCATTGCGAGACTGTAAAACTGGAGCCACAATGGCTGCGCAGACTCAAACTTAATCTGTGCCCTCTAGATCGCTTACTATTCGTAGTAAGGGTTACTGTTCAGCCACTACTCGAATCTCAGACTTGTATGCGCTATGAACTAAGAAACAGCGAGTGTATACTGCAAATACAAAAGCCTCGCACCAAGCTCCGCTCAACGTTTTGCTCCGTAAAATATGCGTTAATATGGAACAAACTTCCATCGAGTATTAGAAACTGCACTACTTACCCGCAATTCAAATGCACCTGACCGTTTCAACACTTTGATAAAAGATAACTCTAGATGATGTGTATGAGAAAGATCTTGGATACACTTGAAAGTCGCTATATCCCCCAGCTGTCGCGATCTTTTAATTTCAGCTATATATAGTTGAATTCTTGAATATCTATAAACGATCTTACTCCTATCACTCTGTCTAACCACTTTTATTCTCCTTTGTTGCACTGTTTCGAAGAGGCACTAGGCCTGTCAAGCTGAAGTCTCTGTGCCATCGTCGTCATACGCCAAGATTTTCCATCAAATTGTAATTGGCCTATCGGCAAGCGACTGTATTCATTATTATGTTTTTTTCAACTCCTCATACTTTATATTCTTCCTTGTTTCATTGTTGGCCATGACGGGGCTCATCTCTGGAGGTGACGGAGTACAGCTTCCAAACTATAAAATATTACACCCATGCAAATCATACTGTTACTGACTCGTATGACGGAAAGGGACGAGGCTTCATCGCTCATAATGCGCATGCATAAAACAGCCCTTATGAAAAAAACATATTTTGCCCAGATGATGGCCTAGTTACTATTTTGACACACCGGCACAGAGCCAGTTGAAGTATGTAAATGCGGGTGAAACCCATCGAAGGAATACTCTGTGTGGAAACAGGTTCCCTGGGGACAGTTCCATGGATGACCATATTATTTTAATTGAACTCTTGTTTAAATCTACATGTGCTTTTGTTCCCAGTTTCTTAATCTCTCTAATACTTTCAAACTGCTAATCACTTCAAAAACCCACACGGGAACCCTTTTACAAAACACGAAAAATTAACTATCTTATGAGATCACGTTGTGTAAGTTGATTAGACTACTCAATTGGTCTGTGCCCCCCCCCCACTGTCGAGCGATAAAACGTTTAGCAATTTATTTACATCGGCAGTGATTGTCCAGGATTTCAATGTTGGAACGAACGCAAATGATGGACATATGTTCTGAATAGAGTGTGAAGGAGGAGGAGTTTGTGTTACATCAAGCACACACGATGAATTGATTCCCGTACGATTTGTCTCAACATCAAAGCAGAGTGCGTGCGAGATCAAGGGAGGGGCATGAAAGATCCCACAAATTGCTCGAGATACAAGCTCCCTTGCAATTCAGCAGTGCTTGTATTTGACAGCCGCACCGCATCTCGATTTCGTTGTGGCACATCAGAAAACGCATTTGTAGTGTTTAACAAGTCATGTTAGTCGCACAAAAGATAACGTGTTTCGAGTAGTCGCCTATCCAGTCAAGTTTTCTGAAGGCATGGGAAACCAAAGTTGAGACAGGGTGTGCAGCGAGTGTACATGGGGACAAACTTAACGATCTGAGAACAGATAGCCGAAAACAATGAACTACGATGACTAGTGGAACTCACCCCAGTGCTGACCAATGAGAGCATTATCCGTTCGTTGAGGGCAAGGGTCTCACCGCCTTTCATTTTGATCCGCTTTTTGTCCAAACACTTCATCGCATACCTTTAATTGGGGAAACGTAGTGCAAAATGAAATCAGGTGGAAGGCGGGGCTAACACATGCAAAGAAGGATTGTCGGAGACGCAGACAACTGATGCAAGCGATTAGTCAATAAAAGGTTAGAATAGTTGCGTCATGTGTGATGGTTAAGTCAGTGCAAGTGCCAACACGAGCAATGGCGAGGTCTACGTGGAGAGATAGAAAAAGGCAGCATATATGGGTAAAACCGGGGGTACGCAAACCAGTAGCGCGCTCTGACACGACACGAATGAATCACAGGGACGTTATGAGCTGAAGACACCGAACGCCCATCTTCGATCAGCGGAGACTGCAAAGTTACATTCTTACGGTCAGCAGAGCAACTAGCAATGGCGTCTGGCAAGACTTTCCGGCATGGCTAAAAGTAGTTTGTTGAAATTGAAGCACAAAAGCTGGTTAGATCAGGTTTATCACGCGTTAGCAAAGAAATAAAGCGCTGAATTTTGCCTATCGATCTTGCAGCCTAGTGAGTGAAGCTTCAAAATATCTCTTCGAGGATGAGATGCAAGGGTATGAAGGTGCGAATCTAAAGGAATGTTTTGGTTTGCTGAACTGCACTCATCGGGTATGGAGCCGCGGAAAGTTTACGCCACTGGTCGAAAACGTTGTCTGAAAATCAGAAGATTAAAGGCACAGTAAACCACTTTATTGATTCAAAATGGTGACTCGTTTCTTTATCCTTTAGGGCTGAAAGTTATTTCTAACTTCATCTCATCAGGTGGAGACAGCAGGCCTCCATCCCCCGACCATGGGAATAGTAGCCGAAACCTCTACCCCTTTGGCTACCGGGTCACGGTGGGCAACGTTTGGCACAACGGTAAATGACTAATTGGGGGGCCAAGTTTGGACTACATGTTGTGATTGGATTGCGACGCGCAATCTCAATGTAATGGACTGTGGTTCACATTGAAATGAACCTTAGTCACTGCAGGATCGAGACCTGCTGTCTCCACCTGATGAGATAAAATTACATCGAAATGCATCGTGGTTGTGCAGTGTTTTCGGGTGGGTAACACCCAATTTTCATCTGCTTTGAGTATGGTCCCAGTGATCGCAGTGACTGAGGTTCATTTCAATGTGAATCACAGTCCATTACATTGAGGTTGCGTGTCGCAATCCAATCACACAACGTGTAGTCCAAACTTGACCTTCCAATTATATTTAACTTGTTCATGATTTTCGCCTTGTTGTAGCCAATGTTTTTCAACTGCGAGAGGATTAAGGACAAAAAGGCGAATCAAACTGAGGTGCACAGGACATAGTTGTTAAACAGACACAGGGGATGAGTTGAAATGAACTCAATACGGCACACGAGGCAAGAGTTCCGAAAGAAAGGGCTGCCTGGTGATTTTCTGGATTGGTGATTGGCCTGTCCGGCTTGTAATCAAATTGCGAAAAATCGGAGGTTAGTCAGATGACCTGTAAAGCAACGTAGATAGTTTATGGATCCGTTTGAAGCTATGGAACGCGACCAGTGTAACAGTTACAATGAGTGATTCCCGAAATTAGTGAGCTTTATCTGGTGCGCAGATGAGCCGCAGGGGAACAACTACTGGAATTAAAACACATGGTGGTCGAGTGTCTGTATTATGAGGAATGGTGGAGGATATCAACTGTCATTTGCGATAAGCTATATGACAGAGATGCTTTAATATCATGATCCTGAGGTGCAGCACATCTTGATAAACAGTTTGTCTCTATCAACGTACCAGGAGAACACAAAACTCTATTAGTCGTCCGTTACGACAAGACTTGGACATAGTGAATAAATCGGACCTTAACGTGTTACGGCAGTTTGTAAGTATCGCCCACTGAGCTACACTATGCAGCACATTCAAAGTGTCTTCAGAATCACACACGATGAAAGACAGCTGGTAGAAGTGGAACAAATTCGGTTACATCAGCTTCAACAATCAAAACGCAAGCATGGGAGACAACAGCTCAGTTCCACTATCATGCGCATCATGAGATATCTCAGGCGGTGGAGAGGGAGTTCAAATGCTATATGTTATATTTCCATAGTCCATACCATTGGTATGGAGTATGGTCTAGTAACAGAACCAATGAAATGTAAATCTATTAAAACTGGTTTGCAGTTAACGATGACTGTACGTAGAACATTTATTGACCTCGAGATACACACAACAGACTCAGAATCTTCCAAGGCTGTGTTTGATCGCGCCCAAGTGAATCCAAGAGAAAAATTTGATCCCCATCATCTTTCAAGTCCGAGAACTGGGTCAAAGGCTCCGGGTGAGGCTTATCAACAAGCCTCCTCTTACTCCAATATTCTGAGTGAAGACTTTTGAGTAGAAGGCAGGAGATGAGTGTCCCTGATCAAAGCCAATAAAGATTTACTGTCTGCGTGCATATAATCACACAGCAAAGAATATTTCATTGTAATCGTTTATGAGGAGACGCTGTGTGAGTTAAAGTAGAGACGCCGTCGCCTGATACTGCGTTCTTAGTAGGAACAACAATCTAACTCTTGTGAACTGCACCCCGCGTGGACAAATGACTGATCGAATTCGGATAACGCGTCCGATTGACTTAGTCAGCCAACGGTTCTGCCTCACAGTATGGTGGGTCGAGAAACGCCTTCCCTATGGAGGTAACTGCAAATAAATCTCGTTTGCCTTGCATGCGAGGTGAATAAGCAGTCGCGGACAATCAGCGACAACGTTTCAGAACGTGGGAAGCTCTGGGTTGGTCATCTGGTTCTCACCCAAATACGACAAGAGCTCGTACGGCGCTGTGTCAAAGTCAATGTGATCGGCTATAGGGTCCCTGACCACTCACTTCTGTAACCAGAGGTGAGTATATAACAGAGAGCGGATGAATAACTTTGCTGGCCACCGGCTTCTCTGTGAACTGCTACTGAAGACAAAGTAGGCGAAAGAGCCACCCGGATGTCAACGGTCTCCATTAATTGCCCCGCTGCCTTGCGTGTTAGGTCTTAAGACCAAAGGCTCGGGGTAGGGTCCCTTAAGTCAACTCTCTACCTCGGCCTGGGAAACCGGGCAGATCTCTGCCCACACAACACATTAGCATTCAAAACTTTCCAACTCCTATCACTGACTCCCCGTTTGTCCTTTTTGTTGATGTTAACTGTGTTGTAGCATTGCCAATTGTACATTGACCAAGTGCTGAATAATAATAGTAGTAATAACAGTACCGACACTGACACCGCACGACTACACGCGAACCCGAGAAAGTGAGCATACAATGGCCTTCCGCGAAGCGTTTACTGCGCAAGCAAGGCAGGGGAAGACCAAAATTACAGTGCATATCACGGGTTTATAGCCGGGTATACATACCACTGGTGGGGGGGAGGGTGACATAGTTGATACTTGGCAATGCAAACGGTGTTAATTAGGGGGACGTAGTTACTACCCGACAACGGTATCACTAAGGTGATCACTCAATCGGCGAAATGGCAACGGTGTCTTTTGGTAAGACAAGTAGTTACCAACTGACAACGCCGCCACCGATAAGTGCCAACTGGCAACATTATCGCCGATAACGCATCAGCCAGGCGTGCCATGGCAATATAAGAATTGGCAAGTTGGAGGATGGGAAAGGTGTTCGGTGCGATATTTCGTGAAAGCATGAGATCTCCACAACAGTTCCACATCAAAATCAAAGGTCAAAAACATCAGTCTGAGGCAAACAATTGTTTTCAATGATTCATCTACAGGCCGGTACAATCATATAAAGTTAAATTACAAAGGGATGGATAGTGATTGGTTCTGGGGTTTGTTCTGAACTGACTCGGTCAATGGTTAGACAGCGAATGGTTCGCCGCTGTCTCATGCACACAGATCGATTGAGGGTTACGTAATCACAGGGCCTGACCCGATGTCGGGGTGACGGATAGGCTGATGGTTGTTCGGCCAGAGCAGGTATAGAGATTGAACAAACTTTTTCTGCGAGCACAGCGGGGATTGGAATATGCGGATCGCAATGGCCTCTGCAGTGGCGAGCATCCTTAACCGCGTACCTTTCGATTTGCTCATTGGAACCTGATAAATCACAGTGAAAGCATTCGGGAGGTTAACCTGGTGACCAGATTCGAAAAGATGAGATAATATATCGCTTGTAAGTACTCCGGTGCCCCCGTTCAACAACCATTTAGGGCTATGTTCCTTAATGCGACGTGACAGTTGACGAGCCGTACGACCAATGTATGTTGCCCCACAAGTGCACTCAAATCGGTAGATAACGTAAGAAGAGGTCAGCTTCGGCAGTCTGTCCTTGTTGCACACAGGAATTAGCTGATTCGTGGCGAAGATGCATCGTAACTCCGCAGCCGGAAAGGTGTTCCTTATCGATTGCGTCAGTTTCCTTGTTAAGAGCTCACTAACTGTATCACCTTTAAAATCAAGGCGGATGAAGAGGGCCTTTTGCGCGACTACGTCCTTAACGATCGGTGTTATTTTGGGCTGCGTGTTGCGCTGAATGAATCTTTCTGGATAACCATTTTCACGCAAAGTGTTCTGGATGGATTTCATCTCATCCTCCAGAGCATCCTCTGAACATATCTTTCTCGCCCTTGAGGTGAGACAATGTACTAAGTTACGCTTGTATTTAAGCGGTACAAAACTACTGAAATTTGTATACTGACCTGTCCACGTCTTCTTTCTGTTTGTCTTCCTTAATATGGAACCGTCAGTTCGTCTAATAAGGTGTACATCCAGAAATGAGAGTTGGCCATCTTGTTCAAGTTCGTAGGTGAACTTAATCGCCGGGTGCGCACCATTAAACTCTGCCAATATATTCTCCAGAGAGATATCTTTATGGGTTATGCAGAAAATGTCATCCATATAACGATAGTAATGGTCGAAACTATCTATAAGTGGCCCCAGTGATTCCGTTTCTAGCTTGGCAAGAAAAATATCTGCCAGCACTGGTCCGAGTGGAGACCCCATTGCGACCCCATCATTCTGCCGATAATATGTGCCGTC